TGTAGTTGATATTGTTTTGCAGCTGCACAGAAGCAAACTTAAGCGACTTTTAGCTAAAAAGTACTATCGAATTTTTTGTGAATAATCATTAAGAATTGTTTTATTTCAAATCCAAGTCGCACTGTATCCGTTAGATTACTGAGGACAGACAATTGTTGGGATGCAGCTGCATCTGTTCAGACGAGTGCTGGGGATCTATAAACGAGTGTGCATAACTTCCTGCCTAGCAGTAGGTTTGCTAGCTCTGGGAAAGGTTTCTTCCGAAATATGCAGTAGAAAGGGTCAGCGGACTTTCTCAGTTTTGTGTCCTTCAAGCTTCTGCCGTAAATTTTATAGAAATCACAAAAATTTCAGTTTATTTCCACTTCGTATCGTCCCGAATCAGTACAGAGTATTCCATCTTAAGTTCATCTGTGCTTTCTGCTTTCCAGCACGTCACGAAAATCTGGTGCAGAAAAGAAGTCTCAAAGGATTAATGCGGTGGAATATGTCTGTAAAAGAAAGATTTGAAATAACAGATGTTCGGGTTTCGCGATTTTTTGTTCGGCATTGAATCTCTGAGATTTGCCTAAGCTATGCATCTATCAATATGAGTGGGCGAAATAACTGGGTATAGTGATATTTCGCCGTAGGACCCGTTTGCTGGTCGATTGAGCCATTTAATTCGGAACAGACTGACTAATGACCATGTTTATCTGCCTGTCAGCGTAGTGATCCGATGCCAGTGGTGTTGCTGGGATGAACTTTGGTGCCATTTGTTTGTTTCAGGTTTTTTAGTTGTATGCTTCTGTTTAGGTCCCGATGTTTGTATATGCGTGCCACTTCTCCAAATGCCATCTGGGTGGTCGTCTCGAGCGGTACTCACCGATACATTGCGCCCACCAGTTATCAGCAAAGCGCGCTGCAATCCGAATATCGTGATATACACGTGACATAGCGGGATAGAAGTTTTATATGCATGTCTTTGTGTCTTGCAACGATCTGTTATTTTTGAGTAGTTTCGTTTCATTTTCCAGTGTGATTGTGATTTTTATGCGTTTTTGCTGTGCAATGCTATAGCGCTGTTACGGTAATTAAAAATACGTATTGACAAGAGATTGTCTTGTTGCCGCCTACTTTTTGCCACCCACTTTCAATTCGGGAACCAGAAAAGCTGGAAAGCTGAAATTTCAGGAGTATGTACTCACTCCTTGTGCAACCCTTCCGTTTTAGCATTATCGTTCGCGTGTGTCTGGGTGTTACGCGTCCATGTACAACTTAAAGCTTTCAAATTCAGCCCCCAGGTGTGCGTGGTTCTCACGTATGAGCATGTAGGGATTTTGGCGAAAAATTGCCTACTAAACAGTTAGGGTCATTTTCAGAAAAAGTCCTTTGAATGGGAATTGTTCCTTTTCCTTTATACAAAATATACGATGATTTACGCTAATGAGTACACAAGGTAGATGTAAATTAACAGTCATTCATAGAGTTATCGACCTGATTGCTTCAAGTCTAGTGCAAAAACGCATGATCACACCGGTAAGCCTGGCGCATCCCAGCCTGGGATTGCATATTCTCATTTTCTTCGTTTTGTCCATTTCTGCTTTTTTCTAAATGAATAATAAATTATTGAAATGCCGTATGTTCTGCCCATTCTATCCCAGAGAAATATATCCATCTGATCGGAATGTAAGCACATTAAGTCGAAATAGTGGAGCGTACGTCGTCCGACCTGAATTCACTGGTGGATTAGATTTCTTAGGTTGCGGACTATTCT